TAAAGTGTGCTTTTTTTATGGGGCCCAATTTTTTTTTCAATTGGCCCCCCCCGGAAAACCATCCCTCTATATTTTGGGGGGACAAGGGGAGAATTAAAAAAGGAAATGAACGACTTGTGTTTTTAATGACAAAAGTAAAATTGAAATCAAACCAAATTTTTATTTTTTTAAAAAAAAGAGAAAAAAGGGAAACCTTTTATAGAAGCCCAAAAGAAAAAATTTAAAAAAGGGTTGGGGAGGGTCAAATTGATTAAATTTCCTTTTTAGGAGACATTTGTAAACGGGACATTGTCTTACGTAAGGAAAAACCCGGGGGGGTAAAAGTTTAAAATGGGGCCCCAAATGTCTAAAAAAACCCAAAAAAAAAAACATTTTTGACAAAAAGTTTCTGGGGATAAATTTTTATGGGGGCAAGAAAAACAGCATTTGTTTTCATGGGTTTTTTGTTTTTTTTTAAAAGGGAAAAAGAAAACACATTTTTTTTATGAATTTTTTTATGAAATTCTTTTAAAAAAATTTCCCGAAAGGCAGAAATTTGTTTTTAAGAGTTGAGGTTTGCCGTTTTAAAAATATTCAATAAAGGGTTTTTTGAAGGGTATTTTAAAAAAAATCCACAAGGGAAAAAAAAAAAAATTTGGAAAATATTTAATTCTATAAAACTCCGAATTAAAAAAATTTCAAAATTGGGGGTAACTAAACATAAAGGAATTTCCCCTTTCGATGAACATGATGAAAAATGGATGGCCCCAAAACGGGGACGAAAGATGAAAAAACGATGGGGAAATGGTGAAAACCCCGAATGTTCCGATGGGAAAAAAAACGTGGTAAGCGATGGGGAAACTGGGGGATGGCATGATGATGTAAAAATAAATTATTTTTTACATTGTTCGCATCATCATAATTTAACCCCCCCATTCCATCGGGGTTTTCCATTGATTTTAAAACCGTGCGTGGCCCTTTGCAGGTTTAGGGAGACAAAAAAGTTATGTATGTCCAAACGGAAACCGTTATCCCCGGGGTAAACTTAAGGATACAATATCGGTGATCGGCTTCGCATTCTCGGCGGAAAATTTTTCGGTTTTCGCCCTTTTTCTGGGAGGGCCCAGAAAAACCAAAAAAATTATGGCAAATTTTTCCCCCCAAATTTCCTTTAGGTTTTTATTTAGGGGCAAACGTGGCCCAGTTTTTCAAATAACCACTTGTCACTAACCGCTGTAGTTTCGGCACTTACTTGGGGCGTCGAACTATCTAGGCCTTTTCGTTCAATTACAATGTACTAAGCAGAAACAGTTTTCCTTTCAAGTAGAATTTTATTGACGAATGTGAGACAAATGTGTTTCGAGTTTCCTTTCTATTATGTGTCGAATACATCATTATCATTTCCAATTTGTCGCAAATATCAATGTTTACGAGCACATCGGTCACACCTGGTGCTCCGAGATAAATATGCTCTCATGGACGACACTGTAAAATGTGAGTTACCGTCCACGCCCCTAGCGCCGACTGAAAGCTTATAGCTTAAAGCTACAGGGACACTTTCAAATAATATTTAAATGATAAGAATTTCACCGACATAGAAATTTTATATAAAATGTAAATTGGAAAAATGTTGCTCGGATCTTATTGCCTTATTATCTTATTTGTAGAAGTAAAATAATTTTTATTCCGCACATAATATTGTTTGAAATAATCATCAGCATTTTTGCATTTAAACATAAGAGTTTGGTGTCAAATATTTCAAAATTCAGAGTTATTTTATTATTAAAATGTGGTACTAGAATTAACATTGAATTACCTGTATTTACTTTCTGTCAATTAGAACAGTGTTTGAATCACGTTTTGCCCCTCTCATACTTCTACAAATTTCAGAATTCATTAAAACATGTTTTTTCACTTTCCAGGCGGTTTGTCGGTTTCCAAGGTTCTCAACAAACAATATTCGAATGTTTATTGCTACTTGTGCAATACTCCGATGGGGGAGAAATGTTTTTACAACATTCCTGATAAAGTCGTACCGAGTTTAAGCATGGTCCTTGATTTGTCTCCTCTGCGAACAGGATTGTCACCAAAGCAGCAGCAAACGCGGTGTAATGAGGACCATTTCTACGACGAATTTTTTGTAGGGAATCATTTTCTTTGATATTAATTTATAAATGTTTTACACCATAATATTCACGTCTACACAATGGATAGTTCCCGATTTTTGTTGAGCCCGCTTGCAGTGAGCTCGACTTAGTCGTCACTTTTGGCGTATTTTAGATGTATGTGCGTGCGTCCGGATTTGTCCAGTCTATATTTGGTAGAAATGTTCATCATGATGGGGTGGTGTGTCGCACGAAAAACCCAGGTCCCCCGCTCAAAGGTCAAGGTAACACTTGGGCTTCAGCGCTAAACCCGTGTCCGGATCGTAACTTATATACATGCATGAAGGGATTTCAATATAATTTGAGACAATTGTCCTCCAAAGTGAGGCGGATTGTCGCTCGAAAAATTCAGGTGTCTGTGGCAAAGGTCAAGGTTACACTTAGGAGTCAAAGGTCAAATAACATAGTAAAACATTCATTTGCGATTATATCTTCTATATACATGGATGGATTTTAATATAACTTAGCACAAATGTTTTCCATGTTGAGTTGAGTTGTCTCGCGCAAAAGGAAGGTCAAGGTCACAAGAGGTCAAAGGTAAACAAAAATATTATAAATTGTTTCTTGACGCTGTATCTTGCTGTATGTATGCTTTGAAGTACATTTGTATTATGCTGAGTGGTCAGAGGACTTTTGTTTAGTAGGCATGTCTTGTAACAATATCTACCCCCTTGCCAATAGTAACAGCCATTCTGGGGGGTCAATATTTGATATAATATCACAGGGATTCGACAGTGTTGGGATAGTCTAGAAAAAAAACATATACTGTATATACATGTATATGATATATATATACATGTATATTTTTAGAATTACTTTTAACATTATCCCAACACTATGCCGATCCCTGTGTATAATATAAGTGACAAAATATGAGAAAAAACATTTATATTAACAGTTTAGTTACGTAATTTGTCAAATCGTCAAAAATTGCCTTTCTTAATCTTCTTCATTTAAATGCCGTTACAAATGTTTCAGGCCAAAATCAAGGAGAGGTTTTTATATATATTTTTTGTATATTTGCTTCTAATTCAGGAAAAATGCAGACAGATCAAATGTCCAATGTTTGAGATAGCAGCCGCCGGAAAATGTGTTTCATTTGTGTTAAGAAGTAAGCTGAATTATGCGTTCAACTTTGAAATTGTGCCGACGCAAGCAGTGAACACGTCATCTCTAAAAAGAATATCACAGGCTTTATCTGTATCGTTACGTTTCAAACTTGGCTTCAAGCGTTGCACGGTTTGTAGTATAAATATGCCTTACAAATTGCCAGAAAATGCCTCTGATGGCCAAGAATACGTTAAACTTTACGCACATATCGTTTTTACTACATCGTCCTCTTGTGAGTTGAAATATGTTCTTTCACTTGCTGAACAGTTGCGCCAAACTCGCCAATTGTCTCTGTTACTTTGGAATGTAACCTACATGACGACGTATTTCTCCAACCCTCAAGAATACGTTACTTTAACCCATACACTGCCGGCAATTTACAAGCAGAACAGGTGTGCGTTCTACTACCCCGACAGATTTAGTTGTCCATGGATGACGCTGTCGCTTCCGGAAATGACTGAGTTAAGAAATCGGACGGGGAATTCAACCACATTAGAGACGCCTCAAAGTGAAGATGGTGATTTCGAATTGTGCATTTCAACATACCAAAAGTTTATACGTGACAGTAAGTCATGCAGTTCACAAATTAAACTTTTTACCGGCGCCAGAATGATGTTTATTGCTTTGTTTGGTGTGATTATGCTGAAAGACGTGGACATGTAAATAACGTGCAAAAATGCCTTAATAAGTTCTGGAAAATATGATGTCAAACATAATTTTTAGGACTGATAGTCCACAGATTGGCATGAATATTTACAACATTGGAAGAATCATGGACACATTACAACAAATATTATAATATTGCACGTTTTAAAACTTTGTTTTTTCATTGGATAACTGTTTGGTTTATATGGTTTCATAAACACAGCTGCTGTCAATTTATGAAGAAATCTCATTTTTCTTTTCAAAAATAGAAGTTTTCTGTATTATAAATTCTTTATAAATATTCCTGACATATTATATGACCACATATAAATGGTTGTTTGCAATATACCCATTTATATAGGGCCATATAACTTGTGACTAATATCATCTTATGTCCAAGAGGAAACCTCCATGTTGTTTGTGGATAAATCTGAGCATAGGAAAATTTTACCAGTCATATTTTTGTTTTGAATATAATCACATTTAGAATTTAATTTCTAAACATTTATTATAAAACATTTCTGAGATTATATATTTACGGATTGAGTGATTAAGCAAGCTGACTTAAAATAACTTTACCCACACTGCTGTGGATTCGAATCGCCCTCGATTACTCTTAAATGTGAGGAATACTGAGGGAGGTATTATTTCTCATTCTCGAGATTGAAATAATGCACGAGATATTTTCGCAATTACCCATTTATGCGGATATTACTTAGAATGGTAATAGCCTCAATTGATTATTATGGATTATGATTTATCATTACTATTTATCTTAAATAATGTAGAATACATTTCTTATCAACTGGAAGGTCTCAGACTATAGGTTTGGTTTATGTTGGGCAAAATTGGTTTTGGCCGGCTAAATAATGCACGAGAATTACTTTAAGTGTCGATATTTCTTGAAACTAAATTTCAATTCACTTATTATAAAATTTGATTTTCATTATGTTTATTTATAATTGGTGTACATTTTTTATGAAGTCTCAGACTAGCGTAAAATGCAGTGTGTTACTGAACATAAAAGAACTTAGTAGCTGATACAGGCTCTAACCGTGAAATTTCAAGAACGAAAAATGACAAGGAAGTAAAAAACAAGAAAGAAATATATTTTTAATTATACGAGAATTTAAATAATTGAAGCATCATTAAACAAATAAATACACCTTTAGTTTAAAAAATTGAACTGACCAAAATGTCAAAAAGTACATGTAGAAATATACTCAAATAACAACGCTGTTGTTCCATATATTGACTTGTATTTCAACTGGGTTTTTTTCTCTTTCTTTGAAATATCCTTTTTTAAACTTATAAACAGCGTTAATGAACCACATTTACAATCTTGCCAAAATAAAACAGACATCACTCATATTGACAGCCATTTATAATCAAGTCCGAGGCCTCGGTGGGAGGGCGGGGATATTTACTTTTGTATTTTCAAACCCTTGTAAATGTCCTGCGGAGACAGTCATAAGGTAAAATCCTTCCAGTTTTACCAGATGGCCATATATCTCCGCCTTTTTTTGGTGCAATAACATAAACACGATATCCGAATTTAGTCGATAAAACTCATCTCATTTCTCCCCCTCCCCCGCACTGGCTGATGAGTTGGGCGGTGTTAAAGGCGACGTTAAAATGGTCTGGTGCACGATGCTTCACCAAATTGATGCTAGTATAGTTTTTGACGAATCCAGCCTGGAGCGTTATCGGCTTTTTTCTTTATTGTTGCAATATGATTTTTGAAAAAAGTTGGCGAAGAGTACAATTAGAGATATGGCATATAAAAATACGGCGTAATTAAATCCTTGAGGGAAATCACAGTCTGTCTGCGTCATATTAACACCCGTATGTATCACAACAGCAAAGAACTGGCTCTGAAAATATAGTAAAAGAATCATAAGTTGATTTATTTCCTTCTCTCAGTTTATATGGTTATTTTTGTTGTTGTTGTTTTTGTTGTTGTTGTCAATATCATTGTTTGCATTATTATTTGCAATAGCACATTCTATTCTTCGAATCAGCCAATAATTGAATAAACTTAATTAAAGATATACTATGTTCATCCTTGAGTAAAATATTTTAATCACAGAAATTTATTGAAATCCATTAAATTCTTACTGAATACGTCTTATTTGAATAAAAGAAAAAAAACTTTGTATAGGAAGCTGCGTTTCCTATTACAGTTCAAGTAAAGTTGGTCTTTTCTTAAAAAAAACTGCCAGTTTTTTTAATGACAAAATATACTAGTATTCATAATGTGACAATGTGACCACTTATAGTGTGTAGGTCAAAACATGTTTATTCAATATTTACAAAAAAAACTATGTAGCAATTATCAATATTTCAAATATCAAATTAGAGCATAGTATATCTTTGACGTGTTAATATGTAATGTATATATTTAATATAGTCATCTATTTTTGATAACATGAAACTAAATTTTAGTTTTTAGGCTAAATGAGCAAATGACCATAGTTAACTCTTGTTTACTGTAAAGTCAAACAAATTACTGTAAAATATTACAAATTACTGTAAAGTAAAACAAATTACTGTAAAGTCAAATATATTACTGTAAAGTATTACAAATTACTGTAAAGTAAAACAAATTACTGTAAAGTATAACAAATTACTGTAAAGAAAAAACAAATAACTGTAAAGTAAAACAAATATTCGAAGCTGTGTAATAAAAACACAGCAAATGTTGCTCATTTTACTTATAACAGTGTCAATGGTTTTGATGTTGTTTTGTTGTTGTTTATTTCGAAAAAAACTAAACTATTGTAATTTCTTTTTCTTAAAATATATGTCGACTAGAATTGGAGACAGATGTTCTATCTTTTGATGAAAAAAATGTAGAATGGTGAAATACAAAACATGTAAAATTTCATACAGAAATAAGAAGAAAGATATTTAGCATTGCTTAATCTGTCATACAATAATCTGTCAAAAACGTAAAAATGTTAACACACAAAAGAAAGAATTTAGCAGTGTTTATACATGGAAATAAAAGTCAATAAAATGTGTTGTTTTATCCGTTTGTTGTTTTCTTTTGCGTTAAGAACGAAGCAATTAAAATACAAACCAATTGGAGCATAGTGAGGTACTTTTTCCACCAGAGATATTTTTGAACTGAAGGACCAAGGGCAGACAATCCATAATAAGAATACATGATCACGTGCACAAATGTATTCAACATCGCAAGGAACCAGGCTGTAAAATGTAAGCAAGTCCATAAATATCAACCAAATCGGAACATCCATAATAACCTTATCCGAAGATTGACGAAAAGGGCCGAAAAGTTGCGATTGATTTAAACCCAATCGCAACTTGACCTCAACCGCAACTTTTCGGCCCTTCCCTTTCCTAATTAATTTGATTTGGTGCCATGATTTATTACGTTATAAGAGTATTTAATTAATAAGTTTAATACCCAAAATAGGATTCGCTACACATTCGTTATATACATTGTAATTAAGATTAAGTGTAAATATCATATGATTACTAATAAGATAATATCACGAAAACGGTGTCATAAATCTTCCTATCCGCTCGTATGGAATTAATTAAGATTGCCTTATTCCAGCGACACTGTCATAATTATCTACTAGTATGTTATTCTGAAACAGCATAATCATGCCACACCTGCGATGAATTTATTTCCGCTGTTCATGGACGGCGACGAAATATACAGTCAACAAATTTCTACCCGTACACCGTCTGCGCGGAGCTAGAAAAATTTAAGACTTTAATACCACGTGATAACAAAATGGGAGACAAAAGGGACGCCTACGGGGCACGCCACCAGCCATGTTTTTCGCCGGTTACACGTTTATAGAATGAAATACTATCGTCATGTACGAAACTCGAAACCAGTGTGTACGCTTCGACGGCGTAAACAATATAGGAAATATTCCTCTTAACCCTTTACCTCATCTGGGATTATGGAACGCCGTGACTGTCTTATGCTATCAATGTTTTTGCTATCTTGTGAAATGATGATATTATTTTGTCATTTAAGCATACATGTATAAATATGTGCAATTTACATCATATCTTGTCTAAAGACAATGCTGACTTGTTCAAACAGCATGTTAACTTGTCAAATAATCATTATGACATGTGCAGACAACATGTTAACTTGTCAAAGTATCATGATGACTTGTGCAAACTACCTGTTAACTTGTCAAAATATCATAATGACTTGTGCAAACGACATGTTAACTTGTCAATATTTCATGATGACATGTGCAAACAGCATGTTAACTTGTCGAATTATCGTGATGACATGCTCATAACACCTTAACAAGTTAACATGTGTTTTGCACAAGTCATTACGATTCTTTGACAAATTAACATGTTGTCTGCACAAGTCATCATGATACATTGACAAGTTAGAATGTAGTTTGCACAAGTCATCACGATACCTTGACAAGTTAACATGCTGTTCGCACATGTCATCATGAAATTTTGACAAGTTAACATGTTGCTTTCACAAGTCATCATGATACTAGGACAAGTTAGCATGTTGTTTGCACATGTTAACACGATGATCTGACAAGTTAACATACTGTTTGCACATGTCATCATGAAATTTTGACAAGTTAGCATGGCATTTGCACAAGTCATCATTATACTTGGACAAGTTAACATGTCGTTTGCACAAGTCATCATGATACTTGGACAAGTTAACATGCTGTATGCACATGTCATAACGATAATTCGACAAGTTAACATGCTGTTTACACATGTCATCATTGAATTTTGACATGTTAGCATGGTATTTGCACAAGTCAGCATGATACTTTGACAAGTAAACAGTGCTTTTTTACATGTCAGCATGATACAAGATAACATGTCATTTGCACAAGTCATCACGATTCTTTGACAAGTTCACATGTTGTCTTCACAAGTCATCATGGTTATTTGACATGTTAACATGCTGTTTGCACAAGTCATCATTATACTTTGACAAGTTAACATGCTGTTTGCACATGTCATCACGATAGTTCGACAAGTTAACATGTCCTATTCACAAGTCATCATTATACTTTGACAAGTTAACATGGCGTTTGCACAAGTCATCATGACATTTTGAAAAGTTAACATGCTGTTTGCACATGTCATCACAATAATTTGACAAGTTCACATGACGTTTGCACAAGTCATCATTACATTTTGACAAGTTACCATGTCATTTGCACAAGTCATTATTATACATTGACAAGTTAACATGTTGTTTGCACAAGTCATCACGATACTTTGACAAGATAGCATGTTGTCTGCACATGTCATCATAATAGTTGACAAGTTAACATGCTATTTGTACAAGTCAGCATGTTCATTTGACAAGACATGATGTAAATTGCACATGTTAACATGCTCAAACGACAGAATAATATCATCGTTTCACAAGATAACAAAAACATTGATTACATAAGACAGTCACGGCGTTCCATATGGGATGTACTATAACGTATCGTATGTTCCAGACCTCATATATACGCGAAACAACGCACTTTCGACCTTCCCCCTCCCCCCCCCCCCCCTTTTAGCCCTCAAATAGTGAAAAAATGTCCTATTTTGGCCCCAAACACGTTTTCGTTTGAGAAATGTTGCTAAAAAAAGTGAGCACTTTTCGGCGCCGCCCCCATCCAAAAGATACATCAGGGCGTAGCCAGAAGGGGGATCCCCCTTCTGTTTGGGGGGGGGGGGTTGAAGTGGGGCGGTAGTCCCTCTCATCGCCAAGAAAATTTTGGACATGTGAGAGGCTAAAAATGACCCCAGGTCGATCATAAGGTAACGTGTAACCAACGCTGAAAAGCCTTTGACTCTATCTCAATCCATTGAGAAGTTGCAGCACTTTGAAATCAATTTTGATGGAAAAAGTCAAGGCAAAATAGTGATTTTTGGCAACTTTGAGATGTCCCCACGTTGCCATGGTAACAGGAAATTTAAGACTGAGCATGTCGTTACAAAGGCAATGGTCTAATCAACATTTATGCCAAGTTTGATTAGTATTGAAGCATTTTTCATAGTTTCATAGCAGTTTGAACTTGTAACATGAAAACGGCCATTTTCACAATATGCTCATGGGGGAAAGGGTTAACTATAGCTCTATTGTAATTATATAACAAGAAGGGGTCTATTTAACGGGAAAAATCGAATACCCGGATGAACGGCAATTTCTTGCAGTTTTGGAAATGTTGAACTTGTCCAATACACAATTCTGACGCAAACAGTAAAGAGCTTCAGGAAGTTACCCGGATGTACCAAATGGCTGGTGCATAACTGTTGGCAGCACACTGCCTACTGCTTCGAGCTTCGTACATGAAGACATTTTTTTTATTCTATCTAAACATGGCGGATGGCGTGCCCCGTATGCACCCCTTTTGGAAGGGAGGTCTAAGGTAAACAAGAGATAAAACTTAGCTTGTATGAAAATACTTACACTGACCACCTGCTATATATTTAACGCCTAGCCACCAGTTCACAATCATCGTGCTATGATGATACGAATGTAGGAATGACACTGATCTTTTTTGAAGGATTAAAAATAACTGAAGTAAAAGGAAAAAGAAGAGTAAAATGAGAACATAATAATAATAATAATAACGGTAACAAAGTGGGGTATATATAAGAACTGGTTTCACATCTAAAAAATAGTAAAAGAAGAGCTGAAACATCTTTTTAAAAATGCATTGATTTAGAACATCTTTTTTATCTTCTAACGCGATGTCTTATCGATGAAAAAAAAGTAAATGAATGCATTTAGAGGGCCATTTTGCTTCAGAACTGCTATCATTTTTATTTCTCAAAAACAGTTTATTTTTATTATCCAAAAACATACTCATTTGCTATATATATGAATATGTGAATATTTTTGCGTCTTTACTGTGGTATAATTATAGTGAATTAGTATATTGCAAGGTGAATTAGTATATTGCAAGGAAGTTAAAAGAACTACATGGTTTACATGTTGTTACCTTTATGACTCATAACTGCATAACTGCATGTTCAGCGCTACTTTTCCAGTAGTTAATAAACATCTAGCACGCACTTAAGCCATTAAATCAAATCATAGAACTAAGAATTACAAATAGACGGCACAAAATAAAACAAATAGACCTCTTATAATTAGCTGTTTTTGACACGATGTTGAAATAATTTCTTTTCTTTACATTATTTCTGACCAAATTTTATATGTATCTAGAAACTACACTACAGATACTTACTGTGTCAACGAGCTCTATGATTTTAGAAAAGAAGTACCACCAGCAAACGTTTGCCATCTGAAACATATTAAAATTCACCGAGTCAACAATAAATAATATAATAGGAGCTGCACAATGACAAAACCACCATAGTGCGCTTGCGACCAGCTTTGATCCAGGGATCTGGGCCCAGGCTTTTCGCTTACAAACCTTTTTACAAGTAGAGAAACTGATAGCGATCATCAGACTACACGGAAACGCAGGCTGGTCTGGATCCCTGCTGGTCGTAAACGCACTATTGTGGTTTTGTCGTGGTGCGGCTCATTCTAAAGATAATGCCTGTCTCTATTCTCTCTCTCTCTATTTTTTTTTTTTTTTTTTTTTGGGGGGGGGGGGGGTTACGTCGCACAAAGTATATGTCATATGGCGACTTTCCAGCTTAAGTGGCGAAGGAAGACCTCAGAGGTCCCCCATACATGCATTATTTCAGGCCCGAACGACTAGCTTTAAAGCTTTCTCTCATGAAAGAAACTTTTTGCCTTTTTGAGGTGGGGGGGGGGGTTAATGAAATAAATCAGTTTTTAAAACATCATTAACTATCATTGTACAAATAATTCAACGCAAAAAATATATGTTAATACACAAGTTAACGTAGAAAATATCTCTATTTATTATGGCAAGTGCCACTACGACTGTTTCAAATTTGAAGATTTTCATTATAAAACAATTTAATTTTTGTAAAAATTGTGATAGAGATAGTAAAGGAAGATCATTTTCCAACAAATCAAGTTTTTCTGCCATAATAATACAAAATAGAAATATCAAGTAATAACGCTGGTGTACTATTGTAGCGTACCGGAAGACGGTGGTTAGCTAGTTTTTTTCCGCAATTGTTCGGCCCTTTCCGTCAGTCTTCGATTATTATAAATAATAGCCGAGGACGTTCCGATCGTTATAATTAGGTCAGTTACGTCACACTACTGGAATCGTATTTAGTTTTAGCACGTGAAATATGATGATAGTGTAAACTAACACAGACTTTAGCAGCTAAGTTATTAACGAGAAATATTAAAGTGTAATAATGTATCAAATTACGCTATTTTCACTACGTGGGTGAAGTAACACAAATGTGGTACTTTTTTCACGTACCAAATATAAATATGATACAATTATGATCACAATGTGTGCTGTGCCTCATGACTGGTCACAATATTTATTAGTTTATATCAAGTTTACGGGTGCCTTAAACAATTTTAAATGTAATGATAACAAGGAAACGCGAAACAAGAGCCGTCAGAGGAAACAGCACGCTCGACTAATATAATACTGGACACAGTAAAAAATAGATAAATGAATAAATAAATATTAATGAAAAAATATCAATTATAATATTAATTTATTTCTGTATCATTATCAAGAAAGCATGCACCGCATAACATGCACGGTTTTTTAAAATATATTTATTATGTATTTTGTTCGTTTTCTTCTTTTATGTAGGCCTAAGTATGTGTAACACAGCCAGAAAAAACTTGAAGCGAAATAAAAAATATTAACAGAAATATCTATGCTTTAACGTAAAAAACCCTGGAATTTGAAATAAATCCCTTCCGTAACACAGATGGTCTTAGTAAAAGTATTTTTTATTAATAAGCACAATTATAAGTTTAAAGAGAAGACAACTCTAGAAATAAAGAACCAAGAGTTATAAACTTTTTTGTGTCCTGCCTCCGCCCTTTCAGTCGTACTGTCGTTTCGACATACTGTTATAACATTCCAACAGTCACTTTATGGAGGCAACTGCACGACATAGCATATCAGACACAAGATGTTGCTGTTTTTATTGATTAATTAATTAATTTATTTATTTGCTTGCATGCTTGTTTGTTTGTGTTTCTTTTTTGTTTTTTTGTTGTTTTTTTTTATGAGGATGAGGGGGGTCTTATCATTCTTCTTTTTGTGTTGGGTGTGGGGGAGGGGTTGTAAAAAGTGTTTAAAAACTTGCGTATCAATATTACTAAAAGGCAAAGTACTTACTCGTAAAGCTAAAGGATCTGTTGAGTAATCGACAGGCTGGCATATATAACTATAACCGGCCAAAATGGATGTTACTAAGAACTGAAAAATAGTGACAAAAATTATGCAGTCACGCTTGAAAAATAATTTACAATGTTGAAAAAAATGCTAAAATTAGTTTCTTCTTTTTAAAACGCTTCTGATAGTAGTACTAGATAATGATAAAATACCGGTCAAAATAGTGTGAAGGGAGACAACTTTTTAAGAGTGGCGTGTGTCTTACTAATAAAATAATAACCGCTAATCCATTAGCATTTTTTAGTTATGAACAGCAATCGGAATGAACTTCCGGTTCCGGTGCTAAGTGATGTATATGATATATCCGACTGTAATATGTAAATTTTCTCTCAATTCTCTATTCAAAAAAATAATAATATACAAAAAAACTAGTGAACAAACGCTAATAAACTCACCTCGTAAAACATATATGCCGACAGTAATACAAGGCCTACGTTATAACAAAGTTTGAACATTTTAAGTCCCATTACTTTCTGGCCGTCCATTATTTTGGGACCTTGTCTTATAGCTATCAGGTAGAATAAGACAATAGTCAAAATCGGTCCTGGTGTCGCCATTAAAGGCCAGTTTTGCACACGTGGATCTGTAATATTTGGGAAAACAAGCGTTTAGTGATATTTGATAATCATTCGTTCAAGTTAATCATGATGTGACATTGAAATAAAAAAATAAAGAAAAAGAGCACAGCAAGGACGGGTGCAATAAATGCCTGTGTGAAAATTCGTATGAGCAGTCGAAACGGAAGAGGCCCGTGCGAAAATATTTGACCTTACTTATCTTTATAATAGAACAAATTTTATTCAAGTTGTGAAGCTCATTATTGTTTGTTTCTGTAAATGTATAAAAAACCACCAACAACAAAAACAACAAGAAACACGTGCTTAGTGTTGGGCTTTAACCGCTGGCCTCCTGATTGTGACAGTGGGTAGGATATTTTACAGTAATGATTAATATTCAACTCCAAATAGCTCATTTAACGCTCACTTCTTCTTTTATCGCTTTAAACATGGGTACATACGAGTAAAACTAGAAAGTATCTTAGGAATTGTAAAAGTGACATTATGCCAATCCAAAGGTATATAGTGATTGAACGGGTGAAATTCAAAACAAGTTTTCATTTTGCCATAATTCCTTTTAATTTAATAATTAAGTTTGCATAAACAATAAATAACTCTTAGATCCAAACGAAATTTCTGCAAATATCCATTAGAATTTGCCTATAACGTTTAGTTTATAAAAAGTGTGGGACTGTCCTTTTATATTTTAGACAGATTCATAATTTTATTCTAAACATTTTCTAATATCAAAAGTTGGTCAAACACCATTTTGACAGTCAAATCTTTTTTTTGGAAATATAAAGTCAATTCAACTCATCTTGACCATGAAAATATGAGCATAATGTCAAAAGGTGAATATATAAGGACAGATACAATTATTATTATTTTATTTGTTCTTGTTGATATCTTTCCCCTTCTTTAATAATACAAATTACATAACAAAGATATTTTTAGAAAAGGTTACTTTACCTCCTTTTGTTAACATCCAGTCGTAAAACTTTGAAATTCTGTCTAAAAAAGCCATAACTGTTCTTTGGGTAACTGAAGAAAATAATATTTTGAAGTGTATTATTTCACAATATAAGCATTGGTTCGGGTGTACTTAAAACCCATATCTTCTTTCTTTGTAAACTATCAATGACACAGAATTAATGGGGTAGAACTCTTTAAAAGTATGCCAGGTTATTTTACTTTATTTAGTTTTTGCTCACACACGCTCCGTTATTGATTTGTCATACAAGTTCAATTGTACTTAAAGTTTAAACGTTACGCAAACGTCTTATCGTTGTACAGGTGTAAACTGCGAAATTGTATTGACCAGAAAAGAACAGATATTTTATTTACCTTAAAAATACATGTATCTTGTTTTATATACAAGATCAAATTGAATACATATTACTAAATATTATATAAAATAGAACAAGTTTTCAACACAAAGCATGTCAAGATAATCTAAATAATGGATTAAATAATAAATGCATATAATAATTCAAATCACACTGTTTATGGTGTAATCAATGTTGATTTCTTGTTAATGCCTAAGTAAAGTAAAGCAAAGTAAAGTAAAGCAAAGTAAAGAAATGTAAAAAGTAAAGTAAAATTAAATTAAAGTAAACGCAGAAAGGCAGGAAGCAAGTAAGGTAGGGAAGTAAGTAAAGGAACGTTAGGAAGCAAGAAAAATAAGAAAACAAGTGAAGTAAATAAGTAAATTATTCAGTGAGTTATATATTCATACACAGATATGACCAACGAATACAAAATCAAAGTGCTAAGAGCACGGAATACCAAGGACATGAATTAAATAATATAACTAAGAATAACATATTATTACACCAATACATATGGAAATACATGGTAAATGTCAAGATGTCTTATTAATTTCGTGCCTTGTGTATCTCTGAATATACCAGTAGAAGGACTTATGCTTAAAGGCACATTATGCTTCAGAAATGATTTTTTTTCCATTTTAAGGAAGGGCAAACACGTATGAGTTTTATCACGTTTAAATAATGGTTTTAGAGTACTATAAGATACATGATGTACTTACTAGTATCACCTGAAAAATGTAGCACTGAATGTAAAATTATTTGTCATAAATGTAGGAAAGTGAAAACAAAGTAGTATTTTGACTTCCATACAAATTATTGAATCACACTATTTGTACTATTTCCAAAAAAGCAACAGCAGCAAAACATGGCTTATACAATTGGACAATAAGTAACTTTTGGGGGGAATTATACCAGGAAAACAATTAAAGGATGGTTTGAGAAATCAAAAAGGCATTTTCTGGGGCGAATGACCGTAGAAAAAAATTCATAATCAATCACAACGAAAGTGACCTGCACCGTCCGGGAATTGAACCCGGAATCGCCACTCAACTTAATGAACTTCAATTAAATACAAGTAGAGATTTTGATGCTAAAGCATCAAGTCGCCGGATAGAAAAATGAAAAATGATTGTATTATCATATCAAATACAAGAAAATATCAGTTTAATGGTTCAAGTATAAAAATAAAAGTATAAAAATAAGAGGAACAATAAGTTGAGTAATGTTTGCCACTGAGGCTTGTAAGGCAAGTGATATGCTGGTAATTCTTCTTGTAATTGTACTTTATACATATACTGTTGTACCATACATTGAAATCCGTATGAGTTACTTGTTCAGATTCCGATAATTACCGACAAATAATTACCGATCATCGAATATTTGCATAGTGACTATGAAAATACATATGTTTAATTATCGAATGAAACAATGCAATTCTACTAAAAGTGGTGTACATCAGTATCATGCGCTATCGAAAAAATATATAATTTAGTTGAAATCAATACATGTATTCCCATCGTTACATACGATATAATTAACGTTTAATTGCCTTTCAGTGCGATAAACTATCAACACAAAGATAGTTGTTGTTTTTTCTATGTATCTAATACGATTCCGGGCCCCTACCGTCATACCGTTTTGGAAACCTGCAAGACGGAAACCGACGGAATATAACGAAATCAGCGATTACCATTATATATTTCAATAATGTGCCTCTTAAGCATAAAATTATTTTGTGATGTTCAACCTAAACTAAACTATTGAACTTTCTTGTCAAAAGTTTGACAGAAAGGGCCAAGTTTAACCCTTTACCAAGAAAAAAGGAAAAGGTTTTGAAAATTTATTTTTAAATGTGTAAACTATGAGTATACAGGTTTTTCTAATGATATAAAATAATTATGAAACTGATTAATGAAAAATAACTTATTAATAAAATTACAATAATTTGCATCTTATCAGCTGCCATACCTTTTGCCAACCATTAACAAGTTACCTGTATGTCTTATCAGCAATCTGTTACTATTAATAGATTTTATAACATGTAGTCACGTGATTCTTACAAAAGAACAGGGAGAATTTGTTTATAATTAGATAAAATAATGACATATAATAGGTGTCATAAAATATAAACAACCAAATAATTTAAAAGGGTCATTTCAAATATCATTCATGATTTATATATCATAAAATAGCAACGCTTGACACTTTGAAATAAGAAAAAGTATCCCTAAATCCAATGACTTATCCATAGGGATACATCATTAATTCATTTTATAAAAATTGTAATGTTGCTTTTTAAGATGTCAATATTTGAATATTTCATTTCATTGAGCATCGTTATTGTATGATTGAATTTTTGAGATTACTGAAAACAATTGTAATCTTTGATTGTTCAGTAACTGATATGCTTTTATTTACAGATTTTAAGGCCTTCTCCTACCATATTAAACTGTTACAAATATCGTCGCCGGTTTCTACCGGCGACTAATAAGAGAATATCGGTTATTACTGTTAGATAACGTTTACCGACCTATCCGGATTACGTCATCAGTATTTGCAATAAGGATTTAATTATTTACAATATCCACAGATTTGCTACCCTTCTTGTTCCCGTTTGTATAAGATTTGTTTATCTATTGTATTGGGTTATTGTTAGATTTTAAAACATTTTTCTGGTAGATTAAGACAAACTAATGCGTCTATCTGTGCTTATTACACTATTAAAGAATCGCCTTAAACCAGGTTGTCAAAAATGAGGGATACGCTCCTTTGTCATGAAAAGAACTAACATTAGTATGGGACCTTTTCATGCTTTTCCTAATATGTTATAAACAAAAGTAAATATCTCAAATTAAATTTCAGATGGACAAATCTAATATAAGAGAAAAAACACGATATTCGTATAAACAATGGTGTCATATTAACTAATTTACATGATAATTCTAGCATGAAGTATTTCAAGTCCGTACGTGACAGCTACAGAGTTGTATATGGGTAGAGCACCGGAGTGTCTTCAGCTGGAGGTCAAGGGTTCGAATCTTACCTAATAAACGATTGTTTTTTTACATCCTCAAGCCACACTGGCATGAATACTAGCTACTTACAACAATCGGGTGTGACTTAAAACGCTACATGTATTTGCTCTCAAAAAATGCTATGCATTGAATAATAAACGCCTCCAACATTTGTCTATATAAAACTTCTCACGCATGGTCACTTTTATTTGATTTTCAGTACCCTATAAGAATACATTCATGCCAATGTCGAATCCATGATCTATTGATTTTAAATAACTTTCTTCTTGAATATATATATATTCATAACTTATATATATATATATAAATAAATATTTAGTTTGAAAATTTCTCATAGGAAAAAAATGAAAAGGCATACTTACATAAATATATTTTTTTCCTTTTAAATAAATGCTCCCTTTTCTAATTGGTAAGTTGACTGAATATCTAGCATTTCAGGTAGAGGTTTTATATAGATCGTTTATAGCAATGTCTACATACACCTCTTTAAGTGCAATAAAAATTATACAGCAATTGAATTGAATTTAATGTACTATGGGGATTAGTGTACAAAACGTGTTGACCTTGTGACACTCAAGTCTGGACTAGTATAATCAATATAAACCGGCTAAAAGGAGGCGATAATAATAATATAATAATAATATAATAATAATTATAAAAATAATAATAATAATAATAATAATAATAATAATAACAACAACAACAATAATAATTAGAATTATTATTATTTTTATTATTACTATTATCATCATCATCATCATCATTATTATTATTATTATCATTATTATTATTATGACGATAACGACGATGACGACGATGATAATGATGATGACGACTACAATAACGACGATGATGATGATAATGACGATGATGATAATGACGATGATGATAATGACGATGATGATATGTTGTTTCCATTATGTTATGGTTACTTCTTTAAAAACTTGTAAGATAGGATGTTAGCATACATGGATAGTGTACATCAATAGAATAAAATAGTCCCGAACATAATATGTTGCTGGTATTTTAGATAACGTTATAAGTCTTTGTTGTGTACCATTTGTAAAACACTTTGTTCTTTTATTATTTTATTTTCCAAATAACATATGTTTCAGTTTATTGGCAAATCGGCATATACAATATACCTTTGGCCATTTACAATATACAAAAGGATGGCCAAGATAATACAATTTACATTTAACATAAATAACAACTCAATGGGAACTTCTCGGCTATTATTCATCATCCGAACTTTGAAGGAAAGGGCCAAGAAGATGCGATTCATAACAATAATGCTTCAAAAATGCTTTTATTTTTATTCCTTAAGATTTAAAAAAAAAATTGTACTTTTTTGTTTCCAAAAAAAACAAAACTTAGTTGCCCATAACCTGAGCTATTTTTTTCTTCTTTGCTTTCTGGCAATTAGTACAGTTACAGTATAGTGATTTAGTATTTTGTATATAAAAAAAATACATGTACAACTTTGTTAACCATTATTTAAACGTTATAAAACTCATGTTAAGTAAAAATTATTCATTTCTGGGGCATAGTGTGCCTTCATAAGCATGGAACCATAAAAGAAACTTCCGATTTCTATACATATTTTGATAATAATTCAAAGAGATCAAAAAGAACAATGACCTTCATATATTCGGGCAAACGTCTAGAATAAAAACCAATTATAACTCAAATGTACGCATTACACATAAAACATAAGTAAATAAATAAATAAAGCAATCCAACGACAAAACCCCTCAATTTCTGATGCATACAAAGACCATTATAATCCGTGTTTAAATCTTTCAGTACGATTTTTCAGATTTTGGACGTCGAAAAAAAGTATCAAGTTTAGATTCAATTAAAATTCAATCTCGGATCAGATATTTTGTTTGTATTTGTGTGTGTCGGCATTTCACCTACAAACATGTTTGCTTGCGGTTTTATTGGTACATTGTATATATAATATTACATGTATTATTATTTTGCCACAACCAGATTTACAGTTTTTACTGATTATATCATCATTGTTTGTAAATTATATCAGGCCGGTTTGAAATGAAATGGCTGCCTGTAGAAAATAGCTTTTGAAATGACGGAAAATGCTTGAAGTGGGCTAACTTCTGACAGAAAATTTCAGATCACTCTTTCATTCTGATTCTGAAGTTTTTAAACCTTAAAAGGGAGAAGATGAAATATTATTGAAGTAGAGATATAAAACCTTAATTAGGAGTTTTAGTTGTTATTCTGAATAAGAGTTTCAAAAGCTAAAGGAGGTGAATATTTTAGAAGTAGAGAGATATAACTTATTTAGGAGTTTTCAGCCTAGATATAAATGAAAACATATAACTTCTTATTAGTGTTTGAACAAAAGGACGTTTAATAAAGTGAATTGGTTTATTGTGAAATGTATGCATACCATATTGTATTTTTGTTGATTGTTTAGTTTAGCAATATTGACTTGAGACTCATTAATTTTCGGATGCTTATCGTTTAGTTTCCGTAATTCTATTACTTATTTTCTAATTTGTTTTAATGTTATTACTAAGTCACAATGGCCTGTAAAATCGTTGAAGTTGCAAGTTCGAATCCAACAAACTATTTTTAGATTTTTATTTAAAATTATTTTCGTAAATTATATATGCAGCAGTAGTGGTTGAATCATTTTCTTTATTTCCATGTATCTTATCTAAAATCATACGTTGGATTTTCGGAATCCGACATACCGGACAAAGTATTAAACCTGCTATCTCATATTACAAGCGGGTTAGTTTAATTTTGTAAATAATCTTTCTTTAATTAGATTGTATGTTAATTGATTCTTTTCTATTAAATGATTTTATGTGTCTTCGGCTATGCGTTTATTTTTTATTTATTTATTTATTTTTAATTTTATTTATTATTTTCTCTAAATATAATAATCAATATTCAATGTCTCAGGTAAATATTGCAACAATATCATTTAGTTGTAAACTAACAAGGAAAACATACTATGTGTGGTGTTCATACATTGAAATTTCCTTAGAACAAAATATAAGTAATTCTCAATAAATATATTATAACATCTGTACTAGATAAACTGTTTGTTTAAGAATGTTGTAGAATCGTAAATGATACGTTTCTATTGTTTTATCACAATTTATATTGTTAGTAATGTGTCTTAGACCAATCCACTTATTTTTTATCATCTTGGAATGGTAGACTTCATTATGTCCCAAAGTTATTTATATTTACAAATCTTTACTGAATTACACTTTAGTGTTACATTGCGCATTTACGGAGAAGGTTTGCGAATTTAAACAGCGGCGTGCGACATTTAGCGGCGTTGCGACAAATAAGACGCAACGAAACGTTTTAGATATTACTGTTTGTAGAAAAATGCATGTTATTCAACGTGCAAAGTTGTGTGTTTTTATTTCTGTTAGTTGTTGTTTAATCAGTATCTTACGCAGCGTTATGTTATATGTATTTAAGGTGCTTTGTTAATTTTGTAATAAAAAGAAATGGTGTTAATATCAAAGTGCTATTGTTTCAGTGATTGTTCTAACTTTCTCAAAAATCGTTGTGAAATAAAAATAGTTGTATAAATTATAGAAACATCATATAGGTCAAAATAAAATTGAAATATAAAATATTACACGTAATTTCAAAGTTCACTTGAAAATTTAAGCATTCAATTTAAAACAATGGCTGAACTAAAAACATTCACGCAGTATACAATAATAAATAAATAATAAAGCGTTACATTTATTTATTTTACGTAAGTTAAAAAAGAGGATAGTTATATAAATTATAGCATTATTATCTCATTTACTTGTAATCCAATATAAAACTCTCATAATCTCATTATATCTCGTTATATGTATATCCTCTATAACTCTTTTAATCTTATTATGTGCTCTGGTCGGATATCTTCATGTAATTAGAGAATAATCCTTGGTGCCATTGTTTGGTAAGATTTTACATGACTGTCAGAGTGATAGTACGAGGTTATTAAACAGTGTTGAGTACAATACTGACTTCTACTTCACGAGTACAAAGCTGTCAAACATATATTGGATGAGTCTGATATAGGTTTTGCAGCTGTGTACGAGTCCAATAGAATCAGTATTGTTCTAAACCACGTCCAATTAACCTCTTTATTTCGCACCACCATTTTTGACATTTTCACAGAATGTTGTTACTTAAGGATTTGATGTGGATCATGGACTCTCAAGTAGACATATAAGCTCTCTAGTTGACAATAGCCACTATCATCCCGACATTCATTTTTGTTCTATTAATATTGTACACTGGTGATTACAAAGAAGTTTTTTTTACTGTATTAATATTTTTGACAAGCGAAAGGGAATGAACTTATATTAGCACTGTTACCATGTATGGCACTTGGGGGCGCGGAGGCCTCAAAAGCCTTTAAATCCAAACAAATGTTATTTGTCAACCCTTAACTAAGCGCCGTTTTGGAAAAATCTATTTCAACGTCTATCATAATGGTATTTTATTAGACGTTTGAAATATGATTTTTTTTTCAAAACAGCTTATACATTTTAAAATTTCGCTTTATACGAACTCACTGGGACTTTCAAAAAGCCTGTTATAATCGGATTCTTGTAAAAGCATTTTACCCGAAAGTTCGTTGTTTATCAGGATTTTTTAGCGAACAGATTTACATTATAACGAACTGATTGTTTATCCATTGTCCGCCATTTTATGAAGACGAACTTTGATTTTTAAGGAAATAGAAATATTGGTCATTTTTGTTTATCCTTGGGGCCTCGTTTGGTGCATGGCTAACTCGTAAAGCAAACTATGTCCCTTATTATAAAGCTTGAAATACAAAACAATGTAGCAGACGTGATACATTAAATTTGAAACATGTCACGATCAAAATCATTAATATTCCATAAGGAAATGCTCCCTGAACCCAAAACTACGGAAACGAGTTTGGACCACGATGATGATTATTTTCGCATCATAATTTATAAAATATTTGAGACCTGAAAATATAATAATTATCGTAATTATCAGGTATGACGTCTTTATACGAGAACTTTTGTCGTAAATTACTCTTCAAAATCTGCTTATTTCTGTCGACGTAAAAACAAGGGTTTGACTGAAAAATGAAGTATTAATAAGGATGGTGTAGGTTTTACGTTAATAGAAATATCGATACTTCTAACCAGGAAATTTAAAAAAAATGCACGCGATTTGTTTATTTTACATAGTACTGTCGGATTATTACCGTTTACTTTGTTTTTGAATTTATTTTTTGATTTAACGAAAACGTTCTGAGAGCCAGTAGAATTTGGTTTCTTTTAAACAAATCGTTCATGATAAATACTATAAAAAGCTTTTATTATTTTATGTTTTTGGTCAGGGGACTGGGGGATGGGGCGTTTTTTTTATAGTTTAAATGAATGTGTAGACCAAAATCTCTGCAGGGTTGCACCACAATTTTTTATTAACTCTGGATTGTCGGGGTGGCTTTGAATAGAATCAGAATTTTGTAAACGT